TTCCTATTTTCTTCTTTAAACTTGACTTATTTTAATACTGGCTTCATAGTGAATATTGTGTTTTTCCCCCCAAAATCCATTGATCGCCAGCAATCCATTAGCCTGCCACGTTCACCTATTTTTGCACTCCTTGGACACAAAGCTTTAATGAGAAATTGAACAGAATGCAAATGCAATACTTTTTAAAATCTAGTATTTACAAATATGTTTAATTGTACAGGGCTAAGCACTATTTTTAGTACCTTGTGTCATTTCTGTAATCTGTAGACTTTTCTCTCTCTCTCTCTCCACCTTAGTACTTTTGCACTGAGTTGTGTCACTGTAACTAATTGTAGAACTGCCATTATTGCAAACGATTTGCACTTAATGAAATGTCATCTTGTCTGTATACACTGTGGAGGCAATGGAAATACTGTCTTGGTACCTCGGGTATTTAATAGCTCTTGAAACATGCTGTAAAACTGTTCAGAACTACTTTAACTGGTTTTATAACTGAAGTAAACAAATGTGAGAATTTGCTTGGAGTGAAATGTTGTTCTATATCAGTTGTACTCAAGTGTTGTTCCTTAATGGTGCAAAGATCTTTTCCCCTTTGCTCCCCCCAAATTTGTTCTTCCTGATTTTTGTTCCTGCATTTCAGGCTCTCTTCAGAAGTAACTGGCCTCGGGGCTCTGTAATCTGTCCCAGCATGCTCTAGGGCTTGAGCTGCCTGAGAGGACTTTTCCAAAGCCCCATGAGACAATGCTTTCTATGGACTAATCGACAGAGGAAATGGTCATTTCTAACGTTATTATTCTGAGATCTCAAAATAAATACTTTTACTCTTTAAACAACTGGGATTTTGTAACTGTTGTGTTGCTTTCATTAGTATTGAGGTGTAATGATCTCGAAGTTCAGCAACATCCAGCAGGGAATTATGGTTTACATTTTGGAGTTGATGATACTCTAGAGCAGGCCTGCTCAACTTGAGAGAAAGGGCCAAAATTAGATAGGCTAAGCCTCTTAGGGCCACAAATAGTTTTTAGCATCTGTTTCCAAGCAAGGTATAATTCATGATTAATTGCAATTGTTGTTTCTGTGTGCCTTCATGTAGCTTCAGACTCAGGGCAACCCTAAGCTGACCCTATTAGAAGAGTTCTCGTCAGGATATATCCAAAGGGTATTTGCCTTTCCCTTCCTCTGACACTGAGAGGGTGTGACTTACTTAAAGTCACCCAGTGGGTTTAGAGTGTAGTCCAAGGTTAAAATCAATATACTACACTTTCTTAATGCCTTCCCTCTTTCTTTTCTTTCTTCCTTTTCTCCTTTTTCCTACTTCCCTTTCTCTCTCTCTTCTGTCCATTTTATTTTACTCCTCTCCCTCCCTCCCTTTTTCCTACCACTCTTTATTTCCGCTTTTCTTTCTCCTTCCCTTTCTTACTTCCTTTTCTCCTTTTCCTTCCTTTCCTCTTTTTCTTTCCCTCTCCCACCCTCCCTCTCTTTCTTCATTTTCTTTCTTCATCCTAGTGGCACACACTGGGGAGGGGGGCAGTGGTGCAGAAGTGGTTATTTTCTTCTCATTCTACCTTCCTTCTTTGCTCCCCAGGAAGGTGCAGATGGGGGGGGGGGCTTTTTTGCTCCTTTCTTCCTTCCCCAGAGGTGCGCTACAATGACTCCCCCTCCCCCCCTTTTTTTTCTTTCTTTGCTCCTCAGGGGCACATGGCCAGGCAGGCAGAGCATGTGGCAGTAGCTTTTTTTCTCTCCTATCATGGCAGCAGCTGAGGAACGTGTGGGAGAAAAGCCTCAAGTGGAGTGCAACATGTGTGGGCCACAGGATGTACAGGCCTACAGGCTATAGAAACTAGCCAGTCTAACCAAAGCATGTGCTACTAATGCTTTAAACAGAATAGTTATATATCCAGTATGAATTTAAATCTTTGGATACACAGAATGTCGCTATTCTTAACTCTGTGGCTAAGGTATTGATCAAGTACAACTTCTATGACCTTCCAGAAAGTCCAGATTTTAATCAACAATTGAAGGTTGACAAAAGTGCAGTTAGGTCACAGAGCTCACTGAGGAAAAATAGCATCACAATTCAATGCAACATTTTAAAGACTAACTTCTTGGTTATTCAATACAGTAAATATGCAAATTGATAAATTATCTCCTACAGGGTGACTTTGCTAAGACATCCACTTTAAAACTTAATTCCAGTCCTCATTCCATATTGATTAGGGAAGAAGGGGATATAGATCATCCATGGGAAGAAGGACCTTCCACGCAGAAGAGGAATTTGTTTTTTCTGTCAACTAAATTATCTTAGGGACCAAATATTTAACCTAACAACCAAATGGTAAACTTGAGAGCAGAAAAAAAAACCTACAGTGCAGTACACTCATGTATTAGAATGTATTTCCTGTAAAGTTGATTAGTGTTTTAGGAGAAAATATTTAACTTAAAATTTTCACCACTCCTAAGAAAAAAGGAAAACAAAGTAAAAAACAAATAAATTAGAAAAAGAAAAGATATGCAATGACACATTAGAAGAGAAAAGAAGAAAGGGAAGAGGCTGAAATTTGCCTTTTGTTGTTGTCTTTGTTTTCACTGCCTACTGCATTTATTTGCACCTTTCTCCCCCTCTCCCATTGAACAGAATAATAATTAAAAATAACCAAAGAAGGAAAAAGTCCAAAAAATTAAAACATAAGAAAATATAAAAACTTAGGAGACAAAGAAAAATCTACTCTACAAATTTCCATTTGAAAGAAAGAAGGAAAAACAGGAAAAAATACACTTTTACAAAGAACAGGAAAGTAAAAGAGAAAGGAATGGCAACACCGAAAATAAGAGGGGGGGGGGGGGAGAAGAAATAAAAGAGTTGAAGGGAACGGCCAGGAGAGCATCTTCAACGGAAGATATGAATTTGAGAGACATGATGAAAAATATGATGAAAGAAATACAGATAATGCAAGACATACAGATCATATTCTGGTTTTTATGGCTACAATAAATTTCTTTTGAGAACATGTTTCCTAGCCATAGTATTCAAACTGTCTTGAAAATGAAGAGCTACTGGAGATGGAAGCTGAAAGAAATGGATAATTCAACCTTAGAATACACAAGACATGTTTTACTAGGAATTAGTAAGTTAAGCTACATATAGCAGTAACAAAACAGACAGAAATTTCCCTGTGAAAATGTATTTTTCAAACTGAGGAATGGTTAGGGATAAGGCATGGATTCAAATTTCTCAGGAATTGGCAAATGTCAATTCAACAGATCTATTATTACCAATCCAGTTTTATATTCCTGCCTAACACTGAAGCATAATCGTTTCTATTATTTTGAGGAGCGAGGGGGACGCAGAGGCAACTCCACTTGGTTTTAACAGCAGTGCCCTCCACACACTACATGCAGGTATTATTATTATTATTATTATTAATAATAATAATAATAATAATAATAATAAAACTTTATTTATATACCCCTCCATCTCCCCGAGGGGACTCAGAGCGGTTCCCAGGTAACATCACAAAACATACAAAGTAAAAAACAAGCTACACAAGTGCCGAGTCCTATTCTCAATATAGGTTTAGTACCAGAATCATTTCCAAAATACCTGGAGGAACTGTGGAAGAGGCTACCATTAAAACCAAGTGGAGTAGCCTTCTCCTTCCCCACAATAATAAAACCACCAGCTGAGCCTGTTATCAAATCCTTGGCTCATGCTTCACACAATTTTATTGATATTTTAAAAGGTACACATGACACATCATAACCTGTAAGACGCAACTATGGGTTTAGGTGGGAAAACAATAATTCTCTTTATAAAAATGACCTTGCAATTTGATAATTTATAAACCTTATTTGTTCTTAAACCTATGAAAGCCTTTTTACAATCCATTTCAATATCTTCCAAGTTCATTAAACAAATAATTTACAAAATAGTGGTGTATGATAAAAAGTCAACACCACCACAGAGCAGGAGCTCAATCTCTGTCTCAAGGCAACTACAACAGAGTTCCTTTTGCCCTCCAATCCTGAGAAAGCAGGTCCTGCAATTCACCGTCACTGCCAACATCATCCTCTTCCTTTGCCTGTGCAGCTCTGAACCTCATGACTTCTTTCAGTTTATCTTTCATTATTTCCTGGCGGTCACGCAGTTGCTCAACACGACGGAAACATTCACTAGGATAAAATAAAAACATCAGTTTGTTTCTCCACCTGGCTGCAGCAAAAAGGTTTATATATATACCCCAACATTTAGGGAATCTTTCAGTAGACCCATCTTATGTATCATTATTTATACTCCACTGGAAAAACAAGGATGACTCTCCAAACCAGCACATTTATTTCAGGCCTATGACACGGTTAAAAAATCCAGTCTCTAAATATTTTTTAAACACACACATATCCCTTAGCTTCTAGTACTTTTTAAACTGTTTTAACTGCCCTTCTGAGAAGAAAATGATATTTAAGGCACGCCAGATATGTTGTCGTTGCACTAGGGAAAATAATCTGCCATTTTATATGGTAGTATTCACTTAATCTATTTTCAGCCATGGCACAGTGTGTATTGTGGATATGGTGGGCGTAAGAAACCCTAGAATTTGCAAAAACATTAGCTGAAACTCAGTTTTCTAACCCTTTTGTTTTGCAAAAACAAATTTCTAGCCCTTATTGATCTAAAGGTGTATAATGTCTACTGAAATTTCAGAAGCAAAAAATTGTTCTGAATAACATTTTCAACTGATGAGATTTCTTTGTCATGTATAACTAGGCCTACCTATTGCTAGCACACAAAAGATACTGCAGATTTGCTTAATATATATAAAAGTTATGAGAATTTTGATTTGTTATTAAGCACAAAGCACATCATACTTTTAACAGTCATTAGATACTTAGAGGTGAAAAGGTTAACTGAATGAGAGATTTTTCTTGGCTAATTCACCATATTCCTGGAAATCACTGCAAACCTTCTTTATTTTAAAATGCTATGCTAACCATTTTTATTGCAAAGGAAGACATGAATCTGTCAAACAAATACAGTTTAGAAATGTCAAACTCCTCATACATTATTGTATAACTTTTCCCTGTTCTATCCTTTTAAACATTTAAGACAGATATAGTAACAGATACAAACACACAAGTCAAATCAAAGGCATGATGTATGGTTTTGCCCCTGCCAAATTAAGTTAACATTAATGTACTTTTGAGAAGGCCTATGCTCAAATAGCTTTTTGAATTCAGCTGACTTACATCTGCTCATCAATTTCTCCAATCTGACGGTCAAGTCGCCCTTCTTCATCTTCCTCTGCTACTATGGCTTCTGAAATCTATTTCCAAAAATAGTAATTAAAAAACCGTAAAGATCAGTTTTAGAATACAATCTGTGTTTCACCTCAACAAATATTCAGTAATTCCATTGACATCAGCATTTGCATAACTATTCAGATTTTGCTGGAATTAAATAAATTAGTGAGGAATTGTGGGAGTTACAGTCTCATCATTTTCTACAAAATCTCATAAACATAATTGTACATAATTGTTACTGATGTTATTTGAAGAATTCTGTTAGCACCTATCTCCATCACTCCTGATTTTAAAACTATATCTAACCTGTCATTTTTTTCAGCACATACTTTTTCTAACTTGGAGATTGCATGCAACCAAATGTGTCCATGACTCATCTTGTATGAATGTCAGCCATGTTTATAGTACTGATGTTTTGGAACAGGATAACCGTTATATTTTCTTCAGCAATTCATTCATGCAAAAAGTTGTGCAGCACCAGACATTAAGAGCAAAAACAACTTAAGTTACTGGATGTTTACCTTTACAGCATATACAACAACAACAACAACAACAACAACAACAATAAACTTTGTTTAATACCCCGCCCAATGGGGACTTGGGGAGGCTTACATGAGGCCAAGCCCAACAGTATATTACAATAAAATAAAACCAAAACACAATAACGACACAGAAAATACATACAACATGTGAGTACAAAAAATGATAAAACAAAATCATACATACACAATAAAATAACAATGAGCGGGCCTGTGCAAGATAAAATACTAAAAATACTAAAAATCAGATGAGATAGGGATGGAGCAGATTGTTTGTGAGGGAGAAACTCATAAAGGAGCGGGGTCATAAATATAGACCTTCATACAGGTGGAGAAATATACTCTGGGGACAAAAACCATTGAGGGGGAGCAACTGTGTATGATAATATGGCTACTCTCCAAAAACACATCGGAAAAACCAGGTTTTGAGATCCCTCTTAAAAATCTCTAAGGTGGGGGCATTCCTAATCTCAATGGGACATGAGTTCCAGAGTCGGGGGGAGGACACAGAGGAGAAGGCTCTCTCCCTTGTGCTTACAAGACGAGCCTGTGATAATGGCAAGGGCGAAAGGAGAGCCTCCCCCGAGGATCTAAGAGCTCAGGCTGGTTCATGGAGAGAGATCCGGTCACGAAGGTAGGCGGGTCCCAAACCTGCACCCTGAATTGGGACCAGAAGACAAACGGCAGCCAATGAAGCTCCTTAAACATGGAGTTGACCTTTCCCTGTAATTCACCCCCAAAACTACAGGTTTTTAAGCACTTTGTTACAATAGAGGTTCATTTAAAGAGAAGTTGTCCACCACAGATTTATTCAAGGGAAATGCGGAAAGATAAATTCCCCAATAAAACTGCTAAACTAACTCTCAAGGCAACTGCAAAAGGAGGCACAGCTTTAGATCCTACAGGTTACACAATCACAGTGGCAAGAAAAAAAGGTCTGGGTGCAATTGGGCAGAGGATAGAAGACAAAGTCAACACCAATGTGGACAGAAAGCCAGCTGCAAGCTGTAAGCAGCCTATTTCTCCAATGCCTATTTTTTGGGGAACAGGCAAAGTACTCTAGGACAGCTAATCTCTGGGACAGGAAGTGGACCAGCAGAATCAGAACTGGAAGCTTTCCCTTCCCATTCTGTGCAACTCTGGGGAAAATGCAACTCTTTGTGTAATGGACTTGTGCACCAGCAGACAGCATGAACTTGATTCTGGCCATAGAATTCCAGGTGAAATAGCAGACTGAACCTTCAGCAAATGCATTTTACTTTTACCAAATATAATGCACTGGAGTTTAATACAAAGGAATTTGTCAAAAATACACAGAAACTTCAACACTGGCGAACACACATTTTGTTGCCTCAAATGTCAGCCCTGTTTCTGCATGTATATAACCTGCTGATTCCCAAAATGGTACCAGTTTTCTCCTATCAGCTCTAGTTTTTGAGATACAGAACATATGCTATCTACCAGCTGACATCTCCTCGCCCACAGAAAACATGATAACCAGATATAAGAAATCCAGGCTGATGCTATGCAATTTCTGAATCAGTGCTTCAAGTAAAAACCTAGACACCAATAATTATTTGGGAAGGGGCAGAGTGAGCAATGTATATAAAAATCAAACAAGGAAATAATTTTAAAAGTAGTGTATATCTTGGCTCTCAACATTTGCAGGCACATGATTTATGAATTTATATGTTGGTTTGAGGCTTGATGCCACATTTACATTTGTGCCTCAGACTTGGATTCAGGAGGGAGGAACACCAGCAATTGCCCCAGCTGCTGCCAAACACCAGCTGCTCTGCCAAGAAGGAAGGAATAAAATGAATTTAACTGCTAAAAAAGCAACGAACTGGGAAATATAATATGATGTGCCACTACCAAGTTCCAGTTTTGTGTATAAAGGTATTTGGGAACAATGCAAGCAGAACAGCATCAACTCACGGTATTGACTTGTCGTATGGCTTTCTGGAATTCATCCCATTCTTTATCCATTTGATCCTTTGGTGCATCAACTTTTCGCACCTGAGGAGACAAAAAGTGCTTCTGTTCAGAAAGGACTGTGCAGTTATGTTTTTAACAACAATGTCTTTTTATCCAATACTGCAGGCAAAGCAAATATTTTTGGCAGAGTTGCTCATGTTCTGGAGAAAACTGCACATCTAGACTAGGGCTTCTTAAACAAGACTCCTTTTGACCTGATAAATTTTTATGTTACCCCAGGTATATAAAATAAGTATAAAAATCAAGAATTTACTCACAACAAATCAACATTTGCAAAGCTTGCTAAACAGACGGCTTTTCCTGTTTAAAAAATGAAGTACACCTGAAACATCTTCTGCAGAGTCCACTGCAGGCAACAGGTAATGTTCACGTAATGTTCAGAAAACATTTACTTTTTTACTATAATTTTCAGGACTCCAAGTTTGAGCCAAGGGAACCCCTTTTGGGGTCAGAACCCACAGTTTAAGAAACAGTGATCTAGACAACTCACAGCTATACATGATGAAAAACATTCCTGAACATTATACCTTAATGAAAGTCATAGAATCATAGAGTTGGAAGAGACCTCATGGGCCATCCAGTCCAACCCCCTGCCAAGAAGCAGGAATATTGCATTCAAAGCACCCCTGACAGGTGGCCATCTAGCCTCTGTTTAAAAATCTCCAAAGAAGGAGCCTCCACCACACTCCAGGGCAGAGAGTTCCACTGCTGAATGGCTCTCACAGTCAGGAAGTTTTTCCTCATGTTCAGATGGAATCTCCTTTCTTCTAGTTTGAAGCCATTGTTCTGCGTCCTAGTCTCCAGGGTAGCAGAAAACAAGCTTGCTCCCTCCTTCCTGTGACTTCCTCTCACATATTTATACATGGCTATCATGTCTCCTCTCAGCCTTCTCTTCTTCAGGCTAAACATGCCCAGCTCCTTAAGCCACTCCTCATAGGGCTTGTTCTCCAGGCCCTTGATCATTTTAGTCGCCCTCCTCTGGACACATTCCAGCTTGTCAGCATCTCTCTTCAATTGTGGTGTCCAGAATTGGACACAATATTCCAGGTGTGGTCTAACCAAAGCGGAATAGAGGGGTAGCATTACTTCCCTGGATCTAGAAACTATACTCCTATTGATGCAGGACAAAATCCCACTGGCTTTTTTTTTGCCGTCACATCACATTGTTGGCTCATGTTTAACTTGTTGTCCGTGAGGACTCCAAGATCTTTTTCACACGTACTGCTCTCGAGCCAGGTGTCCCCCATTCTGTATCTTTGCATTTCGTTTTTCCTGCCAAAGTGGCAGGAAAAACGATTTGTATGTTAACGAGCTAAGCACATTAACATACAAATGTAGAAACTGGATAGAGATATGAGATGTTAAGAATAATATGGCATTTCAAATAGTGTGAGAACTGGAAATTACTAAATAACAAGGAAAATGGATCTTATAAATCTTTGCATTCTCATATGTGATGGCTTCAAAACAATTGATCTTAACTAACATCTTGGTTCTCAGTAATATAGTAACACAATATATAGCATAGTACAATAGTATAACCATCATAATTCATGTTATTCAAAATATGCACAAAATATGGACATACTTGCAAGATTTGTTTAAGCTGGTAGATAGACACCAAAGCAGAACACACATCTGCTTCCACTGGAAAGCAACAAACTCTGAATAACTGAAGGGGATGAAACTTTCTTCCTTTCATATAAGATACCAGATTCATAACATTGCTAAGGTACAACATTATGAAGTGACACAAAGAGAAGAAGTATGGAGAAATGTTCTCTAGTTGCTGGGCAGAAAGGGGAGAAATCCGTTTGAAACTGAGAAATGCTATAAATATAGAAAATACTGTGGCTCTACTGAGTTATTTATTATTTATTTATTTATTAGGAGCATTTCTATCCCGTCCTTTTCATCTCCGAAGAGGTACTCAGGATGGCTACCAACAGGCACCATTCGGTGCCGCACAATAAAAACAAAGCGCAATATTCATTTAGCATTCATTAAAACAATTGTAAATACATTAAAACAGTTATGTTACGTTGTAAGATTTCTTGCATTCCAGCAATGAAAGAAATGCAGGACAAAGTAAAATAAGCAGAAAAACTCATGCTTACCTTTGCATCCACTTCAGGATCATCAAAAAATCCTTCTGGCAAGGCCTCTGCAGTATTTTCTCTCCTGAAATGTCATGGGGAGAGCATACTGTGTTAATTTTCTATTCTTTCAACATAATATAGCCAACTCTCTGAAAAAAGCAGATAAAATATTAGAGAATGACAACAAGTTGATAAAAGGTATAGAGATCATAACATGAAAAAGGTTTGAAGGAGCTGGACATGTTCAGCTTGGTGGAGAGTAGACCGAGGAATGGCTTTCATAGCCAGCAGAGGCAAGCTTGTTCTGTCCTATCCCAGAGGATCAGACTAATGGTCTAATGGTTTGAAGAACAGGATAATAAATTTTGACTGAACCTTAGAAGGACTTCTAAGAGAGATGGTGGGATCTCCTTTTCTGAATTTCTGAATTTCAAGAGGCTGGACCTTTTGAAGATGCTTTAGCCCAGTGTGTGTCCCGAGATGTGTTGGCCTCCAACTTCCAGAAATCCTAACAGCTGGTAAACTGGCTGAGAATTGTAGGCCAAAACACCTGGGGACGACAGGTTCAGAACTATTGCTTTAGCCAAATATCCTGCACTGAGCAAGGGGCTGGACTCGCTGCCCTCATGCATACTATTATTGAAGACAGATACTTGTTTAGGACACTAGGACACTATTTTTGATGGATTGGAGAATCCAAAGAATTGGCACCATCTGCATAATAACAGCACTACAATCTAAAATTCAGGATAACATCTCACAATAGCTTTATTTATATAGTATATTAAATCACATGCATATATTAAATCAAATAAGTGACCTCACATGGCTAATGGAATCAAACAGAAGTCAACCAGCATTATCTTTTGGATATGCCCCTCCATGAAGGAATTGAGTTTGTGTAAAATAGAGTCTCCAATTTGCAACCAGGTAAGGCAGGCCAGAAGAATACTATGGTCAATGACATTGAAATCCACTGAGAAGTCTAACAGAACCACCAAAGACATACTCAGCCTGTCCCGTTCTCAGCATAATCTACCAAGACAATCAAAACTGTCTCCATTCCATAATCATTCCTGGAATCAGACTGACATGGATCTAGATACTGTATTTCATCTAAAAGCCCCTGGAGCCGGGAGGCCACTAGGCTCTCCAGAACCTTGCCCAAGAATATATTAGAAATTGGCTGATAATTTATGTTATAGAGGGATCTAGCTATACACACACAAAGTCTGCAAACCATACAATAGGACACTTGTTCAGCAAGATGGAACCATGTTGATAAAAATCAGATAATGTGATTTTCTGGATGTGTTTTCTCATGTTGTCTCTCATAGTTGAGGTCTACCCATGACGTCAATTCCAGGCCTCTCTCATCTTTTTAAGTAGACCTTGTACAATTGGTATCTGACTAAATACTCCCCCCCGCCCCCACTGTATCACATTGTGAAGACATACCTTTCCCTCTTTCCTCCATCTATTTCATTCCTAATGTGCCATGTGTGACATTTTTTTACCTTTCCACATTTTTTTCTTGTGTTTCTGCTTTCTGTATAGATCCAGAATGGAAGACTAGAGGTGAAGCCAAAGCTTTGTTATCTACTCCATCTGAAAATCGTAGACACAAAAAAGCAGATGAACGAACCATTGTCTGAATAATATGCCCAATACCTGATAATTTAGAAGCAGAGTAGAATAAATTGGGCAACAAAGATTATAAGCAGTAGGACTAGTCCAAAACAAGGGAAATATTTCATGCAAAGTAAATTTACTATAAAGCTTGAAATGCTTTGCACATTTAACTTTGGAATCAACCCCACTGGAGTCAATAGACACCAGAACAGCTATAACAACCAGCAATGACTGCTAGCTTAAGTGGTTTTAGAACAACTGGACAACTTCAGGATTAGGCTATCAAAAGCTATTAGCCACATCCTTTAAAGGAAGCTCATTCGTCTAAGTCAGGGGTCCCCAAACTAAGGCCCGCGGGCCGTATCCGGCCCCCCAGGGGCATTTATCTGGTCCGCGCTGGGTCACCGTGCCCTGAAGGGCTGCCCCTCCCAAGGGCAGCAAGAAAGGGCCGGATAAATGGGTGCCGTCAAAGCCGGGGGGGGGGGG